AAAACAGATGTCAGAAGAGACTCTGAAACTTGCCCCTGAATGGAGAGTAGCTAAAGCAAATGGAAGAAATGACAAGATAAAAGAGTTGAACAGAAGATTTCAAAGAGAAGCTCAAGAAGACAAAGTAAATTATGACAAAATGTGCAAAGACCTGGAGGTATAAAACAAAAAGGGAAGAACATGCTTAGCATTTCATAAGCTGAAAAAACTGAAGAAAAAAATTCAAGCCTTGAGTTGCAATATTGAAAGATTTTATGGGCAAAATACTGATTGATGCAGGAAACATCAAAAGACGATGGAAGGAATACACAGAGTCACTGTACCAAAAAGAGTTGGTCCATGTTCATCCATTTCAGGAGCTGGCATATGGTCATGAACCAATGGTATTGAGGGAAGATATCAAAACTGCACTGAAGGAATTGGCAAAGGGTTGACGGAATACCCATTGAGATGCTTCAACAAATGGATGCTGTACTGGAGGCACTCACTAGTCTATGTCAAGAAATTTCAAAGACAGCTACCTGGCCAACTGACTGGAAGAGATCCATTTGGAGATCCACTCCAAAGAAAGGTGATACCACAGAATGTGGAAATTATCGAACAATATCATTAATATCAAACACAAATAAAATCTTGCTGAAGATAATTCAAAAATGGTTGTTGCAGTATATTGACAGAGAACTTCTAGAAATGCAAGCTGTATTCAGAAGAGGATGAGGAACAAGGGATATAACTGCTGATGTCAGATGGTTCTTGGCTGAAAGCAAAGAATACCAGAAAGATGTGTTTTATTGACTATGCAAATGCATTCAATTGTGTGGATCAAAACAAATTATGGGTAACATTGAGAAAGATGGGAATTCCAGAACACTTAATTGTGCTCATGGGGAACCTGTACATAGATGAGGAGGTTGTCATTCAAACAGAACAAGGGGACACTGCATGGTTTAAAATCAGGAAGGGAGTGCATCAAGGTTGTATCCTTTCCCCATACTTATTCAATCTGTATTCTGAGCAAATAATCTGAGAACCTGGACTATATGGAGAGGAGTGTGGCATCAGGATTGGACGAAGACTCATTAACAACCTGCAATATGCAGATGACACAACTTTGCTTGCTGAAAGTGAGGATGACTTGAAGCACTTACTGATGAAGACTGAAGACTACAATCTGCAGTATGGATTACACCTCAACATAAAGAAAACAAAAATATTTACAACTGGACCAATAAACAGCATCATGATAAATGGAGAAAAGATTGAAGTTGTCAAAGATTTCATATTACTTGGTTCTACAATCAACACCAAGAGCTCTGGTAGCGTAGTGCCTAAGGCACTTGACTGCTAACCAGAAGACAGGTGGTTCAAACCCACAAGCCACTCCTTGGAAGGAAGGCTGGGCAATCTACTTCCATAATGATACTGCCTTGGTAACCCAAGGAGGGGTCGCTATGAGTCAGGTCTGACTCCACGGCACATAACAACAACAACAACAACAATCAACACCAATGGAAGAGCTGTCAAGATATCAGATAGCATATTGCACTGGGTAAATCTGCCACAAAAGACCTCTTTAAAACGCTGAAGAGCAAAGATGTGACTTTAAAGACTAAGGTGCACCTAACCCAAGCCATGGTATTTGCAATTGCCTCATATGACTGTAAGAGCTGGACAATGAATAGGGAAGACCGAAAAAGAGTTGATGCTTTTGAGTTGTGGTGTTGGTAAAGAATACTTAAACTACTTTGGACGGCCAAAAGAACTAACAAATCTGTCCTGGAAGAAGTGCAGCCAGAATGTTCCTTGGAAACGAGAATGGCCAGACTTCCTCTCATCTACTTTGTTCATGTTGTCAGAAGGGACCATTCCCTGGAGAAGGATATCATGCTTGGTAAAGTGCAGGATCAATGAAAAAGGGGAAGGCCCTCAATGAGATGGATTAACACAGTGGCTACAATGGGGTCTGGTACAGTAAAGATTGTAAGATTGGTACAGGACTGGGCAGTATTTGTTCTGTTATATATAGGGTCACTATGAATTGGAGCAGACTTGATGGCACCTAACAGCAAAAACAACAACATGTGTGTGT